TGGATAAATATGAAAGTCTTCCCAGGCTGCAGCAATCGGAACGCACTGCCTGTCGTCTTTTTACCAAGGCCCACGTGCTCATGGGAGTTTCATCTGGTTTATGTCTTCACTATGTTCCAGAGGCTGTTTCTTCACTCTGAGGGGTCCTGGTCCAGAAGAGAGGCCCACAGACCCTTCCAGAGGGTTCATAGCTGGAGAGAGGAGAGCTACTCCATCTGCCTCCCGATTCAAGAATCAAAACATGTACTAAGCTAGTCTTAGTTTTTAGTTTCACCATATAACTTACAGTTTTAGGGTCTATGGAGCCTTTTTCTTAAACATAAGCTCCTAACATGGTTATTGCATATACAGGTGTTTGGTTTTTTACTTTTTAATTTCAAATAATTACAGATTCCCAAGAAGTTTCAAAAATAATACACAGAGGCCCCCCTGTACCCATTCCCCAGATTCTCCCACTGTTAACATCTTATATAATTACAGCCCATTATCAAAACCAGGAAATGGACATTGTCACAATATATACACTGAGTGGCCAGATTATTATGACCACCTGACGTTTGTAGGCAAATTAGCCATACACTGCATCGTATGGGATATGGAAGCCGAAGGCCTGTTCGAACACCTTTGCTGTCTGCATCATGTGGTCCAATGAATCACGTTTCCAGTTGCCTCATGCAGATGGCAGAGTGAGAATTTGGCGGAAACAGCATGAAAGCATGCAGCCCACATGCATGAGTGCAACCCTTCAAGCTGGTGGGGGCAGTGTTATGGTTTGGGGCATGTTTTCCTGGCATGATTTGGGCCCTTTAATTCGTGTGGAACAACGTCTGAATAGCACAACATACCTAAGTATCGTTGCTGATCAGGTTCATCCTATCGTGTTGATGGCGTAGCCCAATGGAGATAGCTTCTTCCAACAAGACAATGCGCCATGCCACGGTGCTCGTATTGCGCAGGAGTGGTTTCAAGAACATGAAGGAGACTTTACCTTGCTTAGGTGGTCCCCACAATCACCAGATCTCAATCCAATTGAGCATTTGTGGGATGAAGTTAAAAGCCATCAGGCAGCTGGTTCCACGACCATCAAATCTCACAGAACTGGACAGTGCTATTCATCAGGCATGGTGTCAGATTCCTCGCATCACCTTTCAACATCTCGTGGAGTCAATGCCAAGAAGAATCGCCACAGTATTGAAGGCAAAGGGTGACCCAACGAAGTACTGATGGGGTGGTCATAATAATCTGGCCACTCAGTGTATATAGAAATAGTGGCTATCAAAATGGACTTGGGCTCTACTCTTTAATTTACAAATTAATATTGGCATTAATTCTGCTAGGCATTTTGTGCAAAGCTAATAAAGCTTTAAAAATACATTGCCATGTAACTGTACCTTACTGTGATGGTGCCGAGAAGGTAAACTGAGGCTCACGTTGATGGCCAAGGCTTTGCAGGGTCCACGTGCACCAGCTCTCGTGCAGCGAGCACTTTGCACTGAGGGTTCGTGAGTAGCGTTTCCTTGCAGCGGTTCTCAACCTGTGGGTCGAGACCCTTTCACAGGGGTCGCCTAAGACCATCGGAAAACACATATATAATTACATATTGTTTTGGTGATGAATCACTATGCTTTAATTATGTTCAATTTGTAACAATGAAATTGGGGGTCACCACAACATGAGGAACTGTATTAAAGGGTCGCGGCATTAGGAAGGTTGAGAACCACTGCAGGGCACACACCTGAGGCCTCCCTCACGTCTGTGTAAACTAACCAGGAAGCCACCTGGATTTCTAACACAGGACTGGAGCTTGAGGTGTTCTTGTCCTTGGGAGCATACGTCTGGTTCAAAGTCGCTCAGAGGCTGGGTCGCTGACCACCGTTCCGGCCCTTTTCCTCTCCACGCAAGAATCACAACTTTTTTTTTTTTTAATATATTTTATTGATTTTTTTACAGAGGAAGGGAGAGAGATAGAGAGTTAGAAACATCGATGAAAGAGAAACATCGATCAGCTGCCTCCTGATACATGCCCTTGACCGGAATCGACCCTGGGACCTTTCAGTCCGCAGGTCGACGCTCTATCCACTGAGCCAAACCGGTTTGGGCAAGAATCACAACTTTTGAGAGAAGTTCTGGGGATTTATTTGGGGAAAGTTAGGAGAGGAGAACAGGGCAGAAGGTTCAAATGGGTCCCCACTACGCAGCCTCGCCTGTGCTCCCCGTCACTATGTGAGCAAGGGGGCCGTGTCTAATGCAGTGGGAGGGTGTGGATTTTCGTGCTGTCCTTGCACTTCAAAGTTCGAACTTGAAGATGCTTCTGCCTGAGCCGCTGAGAAGCACTCACAGAGCGAGGGTCAACTAGCTCAGCTCCGTGGTGTCCGAACGCCGCGGCCAGCATGCTTGGCGGGGAACTCCTCTGCCCGAGGAAACCCGGCCACCCTGCCATGACCCTTGTTCCTCCAGGCCCACACCACCTGGCAGGGAGCAGATGGGGCCTGGGGGAGGGCGAGGGCTGGGGCCGGGGCTGACCCGCCGAGGAAGAGCTGATCTCTGGCTACTGGGCCAGCGAGGCGGGCCTCCAGTGCCCTCATCCCTCCATCTACGGTTCCAGAAAACTGCCAGGAAGCCAAGCAAGTCAGCTCCTGGCAAGTTCACTAAAAGGATCCATGAGGCCACAGCCATCTGCAGCTTCTTCCCCCGCCCGAAGTAAAAAGGCCAGTGGGAGGGGCCGGGCCCGGGGAGTGCGTGTCGGTCTCCGTGGCCGAGTCCTTCTGGACACGGGCACCACCTTCATTCCTTGGAAATAACTTGGATCCACGTCAAACATCTTAACTAACCACACGCCTGCTGCGTGTTTCACTCTGCAGTGGGCGGGGCCGGCCCGGAGCCGCCCCCGGCCCCGAGGACACGCCCTTCTTGTGAAAGGCCGGTGAGTGTCTCTCCTCCGGGCGGCGCGCCTGGGGCGCTGCGCGCAGGAAGCGGCGTGTTGTATGTGCCAAGACCCGGCTGGCCTGGTGTTCTTGCCAGTGTCCTCCGCGTGGTTTTCTGCTGAGAAATCGATGCTGGGCAGAAGCATTGGACGGTTCCCCGGGATCAGGCGGGCACGGAGCCCGGCCCACCCGCGCCACGGAGGGAACGTGCACCCACGGCAGCCCAGACGCGTGATAAGACTTGTCTGTGCATCACCCGGGCCCGGAGCCTCTAATTACACGTCTGGGGCCGCGGAGCCCGGGTGGCCAGCTCACATGCCCCACGACTGGAGATTTTTGCCCGGTTCCCTGCCCTCACGCCCGCTGGGGGCGGCGCCCAGCCCGTGCTTCACGGCCATCCACATGATAATGACCACATTCCAAAGACAACAAGAGCCCATTTCACAGGCTGTTCTTTCTTTTCAAAGCATTGCCACAGTTTTATCTCCCCATCAACGTTCCCAGCCCTACCTTTTTGGAAATTTCATCTCAACTTTCCACCTGCTCCGCACTCGGTGCGGGCGCCCTGCCTGGCACCGCGGCGGAGCTGCGCGCAGTGTCGCCTGGGCCGGCGAGGGGTCTGTGTGATGGGACTTGGGCGGATTTAACCTGCTCACGGTGTGTAATGATTAACAGCCACCAAGTTATCAAGAACGTGCCGTTTGCCGCGGAGAGAAAGACAGCTGGGTGATGTCATCATTTAAAGGAAAGGACGCCACTGTCGCTGGGACCGAGCCCGCGAGGGACGTGGGGCCGGAGGCTGCGGAGGAGCCGACCAAGCTGCCGGTGGGAGCCGCAGCGGCTGAGCCTGTCGGTAATCAGCTGTGTGGGAGGGTTCGAGGACAGCAGCCAGGAACCTGCTGTTGTTTTTGTTTTCGAAGCTACACATCCCACCTCCACCCCCCCAAGCGGAGAGGACGCTCAATCAGTGCAGATGTTCCCTTGGCAAGAATCCACACACTTGAACATGAAGAAGTAGACGCCCGGTCATGGGCTCGCCGATAAGGTTCTCGTAGAGAATCGGCTTTCGCTGAAATGCTCATTCTGAAACCCGCAGTGCCCGTCTGCAGACAGCTGCCCCTCGCACACAGTGTTCGTCGGTCGGACCCTAAGGATCCGGCGCCTTCGCCAATCCCCAAGGACAGTTCTGCCCAGAGCTCTTTGGGCAGCTATATGGGCCAGAAACGGCGTGACCCTCCACCCGGCAGGCATGCCAGTCGGCCCTGGCTTCATCCCCACCCAAATGCCCACTCCACCTCTAAACCTCACACTGTTCGTTCTGAATCACACCCGAGTGCCACACCCTGAGCTGCACGGAATCAGTGTGTGGCCGACTGAGAAGAAGCCGCTTCGATTTTCCTGGAATCGGTTATCACCTCGCTGCTCCACAACTGGCTTCAGGTGGGACATTCACGGAACATTTTACTCTCAAACTTGCCAATTCGGAGGCTGCGTTTTCCACTCCTTGTCCGGTTACCAACGCTGATGCCGGCAGGTCGTTTTCCTTAACTCTGAGCCTCAGGCCAGACGAGCCGCCTGATTCAGAGTGGGGCCGGCCCGCTGGTGTGCAGGTCACACAGCCAGCGACGTGACTGGCGGAGCTATGGGGAGCCCATCGGCCGTAGCCTCCCGCATGCGGGCCCCTGCCGCCCGGCCACATATGTCCTGAAACTCAGAATCAATCTATAAGGAAAGAAAGCAAAGAAATGTCTGGGCGCCTGGGACCCTTGCAGGAATTCATGAAGGCACAGAGCAGGCAGGTGGTTTGATGGAGAAATCGCATCAAAGGAAGAGGCTGGCATAGTCATGGAGATGCCTTCTGCGAACGCCATTCCAGAGTTCTGAGAAAGCTCTGTTTATGGAAATGGAACAGGACACAGCCTGGGGCGGCGGTCACGTGACTACTTGGAGACCCATTCAGAGCGTCACTCCCCTGCCGCCGCAGCCCCACCTGTGCAAGGCTGCCTCCCTGGGCTGTGCC